AAGCAACTACAGCACAACACTGAACAGGAATGAGGTGGGAGAAGAAGCAGTCTTCTGCAGTTTGCCTCTCTTAGGAAGAGGAGAACTGATTATCAGAAATTCCAGACTATGGCCAGTGCACAAAGCTAGTCCATCTTACTGTGATCCATTTTATATTGTGCTTACAGGTAGTTAGGTGTCAGATTCAAGTAGCTTGAGTCTTTGCTCTTTCTAGCAAAACACTACACTTCTTCTGGCAAAACTCATCACCTTGTATTTCTGCTGGATAACTAAATGACAGAAGATTCTTTCAGCAGGATCTTGTATTCCATTTCATCTTCTCTTCCTCAGCAAATGAACTTCTGCCAAACTAACTCTGAACAACTGGATATGGGAAGATGCAGGGGGGCATGGGAAGAGCTGGCACCAAGTGTGTCCAGTGCTTCTCCTTCTTATGTCTCTTTAAAAGAGAGCCTTGAATCAGTAAGATCACACCACTTCCAGGTTATGCTTGGCACAAATTCAAGCATTTTGCTTACTGCTCAGGATGACAGTTTTCCATCTGCTTTCTCCACATACAGCAGTCCTGAAATGAAGCATGTGACACAACTTCAGCTCAACTTGTCTTCCCACTTTGCACCAGGATGTGATCACTGCATTTCTGTGATGCAGTCTCACAACCTTATCAGGTTTGGGGCCCTGGAAGGCCTTCATCCTCCCTCCCTCAAAAGGATGGAAAAGCAAAAAAACCCCATATTTTGATGATGATTAAATACAACTTTCTGACACTGCATAAGTTTGATACTTGGAATATGAGTAACAGGCATTTTTGCAAACTTCATCCACTCTTCGATGCAGTCTTGTCCATCTAAAAGCACATGCATTTTAAAACCAGGTCTTCTGTGTGCTAGCTACATTAGAAATTAAAATTGTAGTGTGATTTGTCTTGTCTAGGCTTGATTTTTTTCATAATTTCTTCACACAGAGTAACAAAAACATATTACTTCTGTCAGGTTCAGTCTCACTGGTATAAATGCTTTGGTGTTTGCCCACAGGCTATCAAAAAACCCCACAGAAACCAACTTTATTAAAGAGTAATCTTTGGAACTTAAGTCATATGAACACTCTTCTCAATCTTAGCTTTTAACAGCTTATTTTTAGGAAATGTGAATTTTTACCATTGTGATTTAGCATGCTTAATTTATTCAGCATACAAACACAGGTACCAGCTCAGTCAGTAAGCAGGTCTTTCTCACTGTCCTTTTTTCCACACCTTCTTTCATTTTACTGCTTTTTAATCTTTCATTGCAGTTAATCTCTTTTAAAGAAAAGCACGTGACAGAAGGATGCCTTGTTCATGTGTCCAAAAGGTGGTGTTTTTTTTTTTTGTTTTTCCAGTTGTTGCTTTTGATTTTACTTTTTAAATGATCTTTTAAAGGTACAACTGCATTTCCTTGTAGGGCATATTTAGAATTTGTCCATGTTATCAGTTGGGGTCATGTGTCAGTTCCAACAAAGAAAAAAGATCCAGCTTTTGCCTCAAGATCAGATGCATTTATCCTAATGTTGCAAAGTGAATTTTCTTTCTGCATTCCTCTGTGCCTTACTTCTAAAAAAGAAAATGCTGTGACATGAAACTCGGTTACATGAAGTTTAGACAGCAAATTGCCACTTGTTAACATGATGAAAATTTCCCATGAGAATGGATTACATTTTGCATGTTGCAGCATAAGAGTGCAGTTTATCATGCAGTAGCTTCTGGATCAAAACCCTTGTGTGCTGCTGACAGAGGATTTTTTTTCTTCTTCGTTCTCACTAACGTACTGTGTGAATCTTCTGTTCTGAAGCATTAACCAGCAGCAGCAGCCTCATGTCTTGGGTGTGCTGCCTCAGACATTTATTTCGATTGACAGTGGTTTGTTTCCTAGTAAGGCCAAACATCAAGTCACACTAAAAGCACGGGCCTGTTCCATGTGGCTTTAGGGTTGTGTCTGTTCATTCTTCATTGCAGGGTTAGAAGGTAAGCCAAGGAAAGGAGAGTGTCATCTTAGGAATTTCTCATATGCCCACTACAGACTGGTTTTACCACCAACCTCACAATTCACAAGGTGGCTATAATGCCCAGGACTCACTGAAGTGTGTTTCCCACCTAGAACACGGAGAGATTTCCTGTTTGTTGCTGACTTCTCAGCTTTCAGAAGATGGTTTGTTTTTTTTGAATTTGATGTCTGTTTTTTCTCATTCTACAGAACTACCTTCGTGTTGCGTTCCAGGAAGTTAACAGTGGCTGTACAGGAAAAACCTTGCTAGTAAGACCATACATCACTACTGAAGATGTATGTCAGCTTTGTGCTGAAAAGTTTAAAGTGGACAATCCAGAAGAATACAGCCTATTTCTTTTTGTTGACGACACCTGGCAGCAGCTGACAGAGGATACCTACCCTCAGAAAATTAAGGCAGAGTTGCACAGCCGTCCACAGCCCCAGGTCTTTCACTTTGTCTACAAGCGCATTAACTGTGATCCATATGGTGCCATTTTCCAAAACAGTGATGACTCAGCTTCTTAAAACCAGCAACTCATCATTTAATTTCTGTTCCTTGTTAACTGTTGAAAACATCTTTCTTGGCTGCCTTCCTTAGGACATAAAACATGTCTAAAACCATAAATGCCTAGTAAAACACACGCAGACACTTGCAGCATTGCTTACAAAACCCCATGTAAACCATGCATATGGCCAGTTATGCAGAATATTCCACCAGCGTGTTTCAGTAAACAGCCCGTGAAGTTGAATTTCTTGTACTGGACTCTTTTGAAACATCTTATACTGTGGCCCTTTGCAGGTCTTTTGCTGTAGTGTGCAAAAATCTATTTTCTTACACTCATCCTTTAGCCAAATGTCATTTTGATTTTAAATATATGTATGCTAGACAAGTATTTCAGTAAACTGGCTGGTATGATCTCAGTTTCACCAGCATGAGATTGACAAGACTGTCCGATGCAGGGCATCAGTTAACTCCTAATTACCTGGATGATTGCATCCTTTCCTAAGTTTTTAATTACAGAATCACCATGGTTTTATATATATATATATATATATCATAGAAATTTTATAGCAGTTGCAGGTAAACTGTCAGGGTTGGTTTTTGAAATATTTTTTTAACTATAAAGTATTCTATAATTATGCATGTGATTTTAACATTTTAATATACAAGAATAAATCTCTTGCTGGTTTTAGAGTATTGCATTAAAAGTCTTGTGGTTTCTCATCTTTTCCTGTAACAGGAGAGTTCTTACAAAACTCCTGTTATCTGTAAGAAGATTGTAACATTGGCACTGGCAATTTCAGTGCCTTTATCTGAATATGATGTATTGTTATCTGGACTATTGTTTATATGCATTGTTTTTAGACAGAACTGGGGTGTTGGAAGAGGAAATTGAAATAAAAGGTTATAGAGAAGGGGCAGAGAAAGAATGTAGAAAACATGATTTGTGATTAAAATGTGTTAGTCTGCTGGTTCAGGCTAAGTGAAGGAGGTTGGAACTTTTATGTAAGTAGTATTGTAGATTTGCAAATGGATGTGACAACACCTATCTCAGATACTGTTTATGTTAGCAGAGGATTAAATACATCATTAAGGTGAAGGACACCTCAACTGTTTCGTGTAGTCTGTCACCAAGATCAGAATGTTTCTTGGACTGAAGAATGTGTTGTAGCATTTCATGGTTCTAAGTTACTCAGTAGGTGAGATGTGAAAGTAAGTCCTACATATGCAAAGATAAAATGTGTGTTCTGCTCATGTTCTATAGAGCTTAGATTTATCTTGGATAAATCTACAGGTTTATCCAAGATAACCAATGCCATGGGTAATGCTGTGGACCCTCATCATGTCAATTAGGGCTACTCTTTAAAAAGACATGGGGTTCTCCCCAAGTCTGCTGCGAGCAGTGTAACACAAGGCAATGATTACAAAAATGTCACTAGCAGCATGTGTATTGTACATAGGGAGATGTGTAGCATTTTTGTGAGTTTGCCATGTATCTGAAACTCTTTCACACGTTTGTATATAATTTTGTAAATGGTGAGTTTTGCACATAATACATTGTAATACTGAATCCTCATTTGGGATGTTGTGTGCTGTGGTTTTTGGGGTGGGTTGGGGGGTGGGTTTTTTTTTTTTCCTTAAGAAATGGTTTGTACTTGAATATTTTGTGTATCAGTAGACTCTGCTGCTGCGTTTTTATGCTGCTTATCCCTCTTTAAATTCTCTGGAAAGGAAGGATGCAATAACATTAGTTAACATGCTTGACCTGAACAGTCAGTAGAAGCAAGCAGGTGTTTATCTTGACTGCCGAACCATTTCTTCTGAAGTTAAGACTCACAGTAAGTGCTACAGAAAATTTTGCTGCTTTCATATGATGGGAAGAACTCAAGCAGGGAGGCACAGTATTAAGAAACTCAGAATTAAGGCATGAAATGAAGGAAAAAGAGTGCAAAAAGGTAAAATGCCTGCGCAAACCACCTCAGCAGAATCCTCTTGTCTGTCTTGTGCAATTGATTCTTTTGAAAATTGGACTATTTTATTCACTGTGTTGTGCAAACACTTCTCATAATGCCAGGAACCACAACAGAAAAACTTCGTACGGAATCTGGACTTGTAAAAACAAGCTCTTTCATTGCCTCCAGTGCAAAATATTTGATGTTACAAAACACTGAAATGCACGAAAAAAACTTAACAGTGGAGGTGTTCTCTCTTTACTACTCCTTCTTTTTGAAGAGAACTGAATGGGCAAGGAAGTAAAGCTGGAGGCAATTAATCTCTAAATCTTGCTAATAAAATAAGCTTAATAGAAAAGTTAATACTTCATTAGGGGATTGTGAATTCACAGAAAGTACATGCTGCACAACCGTAAAATACCACCAGCAGCAGTTTAAATAAAATCCAGCTTCTCTCCTTTCTCCATGGTATTTTACATCTTTACGGCATCATCCCCCGGACCAGGCCGGAGTGAACACAAATAAATGGAGCCAGGTGCCGCTCTTGTAGCTCTGGCCAGGACCGCGCAGGGCGGGGCGTCAGGGAACGCGACCGGCGGCTGCAGCAGAGGCGGCTCCGCTTGCCTGAAACCGCTGCCGCCGAGCGCGGCCCCCACCCCCGAGGCGCCCCGAGCCTCCGCCTCGGGCTGCGCTTCTGCGGCTGCCGCGCCGGAAGAGGCCCTGGGCCGGCGGCAGCAGCATCGTGGCGGCGCTCGGGGCACTCAGCCGCGACCACCGCTTCCTCTTCAACAGGACGGGAGCCCCGGCCGCGCTCCGCCGCACCCGGCTGAGAGCCCCCGCCCGGTGCCCGCGCTCCGCCACGCTCGGCCGTGGCTTCCCTCATACTCTTCGGGAGCTCGGGGCGCCGGTCTGCGGGCGGGCCTGGCCGCGCCGCGGTGACCCTGCAGCAACCCGGACCCGCTGACAGAGGCCGAATCCTTCTCCGTGCTGGGTGGAGGCCGCAGCTGGCTCCTGAACGGAGGCTCAGTACGGGATCCCGTTCTACCTGCAGAACCTGGCGCACTGTCCCGGGTACTTCATTGTCGCCGAGGCGCCCGGCGAGGAGCTAACGGGTTACAGTGAGTGCGGGGTCCCGGCGCTGCCGTCTCGCTGTGCTGCATGTTGGGGGGTTATAACGCAGGAGCTTCTCCTACTCCTCACTGTTTCCAACAGGGAAGAGGACTGTCGCATAGCATCTATCTGTTTCATACCTTTCTTAGGGTATTAGGTGGGACTCACAGCATCAGTTTTTGGTTTGGTGTTGCTAGCCTGGCAAGGGCTCTTGGCTGTGGTGGCAGGTTATATACAGGTACAAGCATTTCTGTAACCGTAGAATCATAGAGTCATACAATAGTTAGGGTTGGAAAGAATCTTAAGATCATCCAGTTCCAATCTCCCTGCCATGGGCAGGGACACCTCCCACTAAACCATGTCACCCAAGGCTCTGTCCAACCTGGCCTTGAACACCACCGGGGATGGAGCATTTGCAACCTCCCTGGGCAACCCATTCCAGTGCCTCACCACCCTTACAGTAAAGAACTTCTTCCTTATATCCAGTCTAAACTTCCCCTGTTTAAGTTTTAACCCATCACCCTTTGTCCTGTCACTGCAGTCCCTAATGAAGAGTTCCTCCACAGCATCCCCGTAGCCCCCCTTCAGATACAGGAAGGCTGCTGTGAGGTCTCCATGCAGCCTTCTCCAGGCTGAACAGCCGCAGCTTTCTCAGCCTGTACTCCTGAGTCTGTGTGCTCAGCTCTGAACTCAGTCATCATAAGTAAAAATGCTGAGCTTGCGTTTGGCATTGTCCTGTAAGGGAAAGCTCTGGGACTGGGTGTCTTGTTGCTTATTTGCTGTAGAATATTTGTATTTTGCAGAAATCACTCTGCATGGAAACGTTGGTTTGTTTGATCCTTCCCCCCCTGCCTCCGGCCTCCCTTGAGAAGCAGAATAAAGGGTCTTTAAGGGAAATAAATTATTTAACACAGTAAAGCTTAAAGCATTTGCTGTACAGAAGGTTTCTCTGTACTTACCACATCAGTTGCTTATTGGCAGTGACTGATGTTTATAAGAGTACCATGTAGAAGTGTAGAAGCGTGAGTATTCATTAGTGAGCTAACACTGGTTTGGCTCTGTGTAGAAAGGAGAAGAAGCACAGAGAAACACTCAAAACACCCCCCACCCCACCCCTTGATTTTTTTCTTTAAACATTCTGTGTTTACAGGGCCTTGGCTTCTGTTACCAGGTTGGCAAAGCTTCCCAGGCTCTGCTCCTCCACGTTCACCAAAAGCCTCCAGCAGTTTCCAGGATGGTGACATAGTTTTGGCTTTCCAGCCCCCCATTCCTCCATTATTTTAGTTAGATCCTGGATTCTGCTCAGCTAAAGACTCACAAGAATTCCTTAAAATTTGCATTTGGCAGTCATGCCTGAAACAGGGATTTTCAGAATATTTGTGGCAGTTTTTTGCCTTTTTCTTTTTTTTTTTTTTTTTTACACTGTCAAGGAACAACTGTAACACTATAGCAAAATGACATTTGTAGTGGTGGCTGAAGCACCGAGTCATAACATAGACATCCCTGTGTGAGCCTTTACCACAGTCCTTCCAACATTTATTTATATGCTGGGGGGTGTTTTGCTAAAGGTGTAGAGAGTGTGGTGTATTGTTCTAAATATGCTGCTGTGCTGATTTCTGTCTGTGTTCACAGTAATGGGTAAAGCAGAAGGCTCTGTGGCTAGGGAAGAATGGCATGGACATGTTAACTGCTCTCTCTCTTGCACCAGAATTCCAACGGCTGGGTTTGGTTGCTAAATAGATGGAACTTCTGGAAGAAATTTCAGAAAAGTGAGTAGTATCCTTAAATTTATCTTTTAAAACTTAAAGATTAAAGTTATCTTTTAAACTAATCTTTCTACAGATGCCTGTTCATGGCTTAGGTATTGGATTTGCATGAAGCATGCCCAGAATTTTAAGTAATGTTCTAACTGACTGAAATTCCCTGTAGCTAGAGAAGATTTAAAAACATTGCTTTGTTCTGTAAGATTTCAGGGTTCTGTGAAATCTGACTTCCCAGGATGGGCAAGAATTAGCCTGTATTCCAACGGAGATACTGTGTAAAAGGCCCTTTTCTTCACAGAAAAGAGCTTCATGAAACATCAACTGCTTCATGTAGGGCCTCAAACACACTTGTTCAATAATCATGAGCTCCATGCAATTCCCACATGCAGTCTTGGAAAAATTCTGTAGGGCAACCAGTATCTTAGCTCACTGTCATGCGCTTGGGTGTTTGTACTTCCTGAAAGTTTAATTTAGCATCAGATGAACCCATGGGGGAATGTCCTCTCTTGTGCTGGTGGCACAGCCCAGTTGCAGTCAGTAGGATCGGAAAGGAGTACTACGTTCTGAAAAAAATTGCCTTGTTAGGAGAAGGGTTGTCTTCTGTTGGGCAGCTGCCGAGTTGTGACTGTTTCCATCACTCCCCCCGGCCATGCACTTGGAAGGAGGCAGTCCCTAAGTCAGTGTAATCTAAAATGTGGATTATTTTTTTTTAAATAATTTCTTATGGCTGTGAGGCCTGTGTGGGTGTTCAGCTTGCCCTGTTCTTTCAGGTCATAATTCTGAACCTGCAGTGGCTGTAAAGGAATGGTCAATGACAAAAATAAAATGAAATTTGTACTAGATTTGTCCCTTGCCAAAGGAGGGCATCTGTTATCACAGCGTGACATGTTGGATTAGTGTTCTGCATCAACGGACCTGCTCTTGATCTGATTACAAGTTATGGGTTATTATTTAGAAACATGTTCACTTGGTGCTGCTTACTGTGATTTTGAGATTTTTTTCACAGAAAGGATGGATTTTTCGTCACTCTCTTTGTGAGGGTATCAAACCAGGTTGCAGTAAATATGTATAAGCAACTAGGCTACAGTGTGTACCGAACAGTACTCTGCTAGCAGTGGAGAACCAGATGAAGATGCTTATGGTAAGTACTTGCTTATGGTAAGTACTGAAGCTGAATGGAAAGATTCTCATGTTGAGAGTTCCTGGGTTGGTTTGTATGATTTTATTTTATTTTTTTAATTCAAAACAAGTTTGGATAGGTGTTGGTGAATGGAATTTTGTAAACTTCTTTAGGTAGCTTCTCTGACTGAAGATTACATCAGTTATAAAACTTAATCTTGTAGTTTGCACTTCTTGTAGCACCTGTGGCAAAATACAGAACAAGAATAAACTAAAAGTACAAAGGCACTCATCTTGTATGTAAGATGAAAATAAAAATGCAGTTTCTAACCTGATTTTTCTTTCTGAGGAAAGCTTACACCCGGTGGCTGGGCTTTTTTGCTGCTGTTACTGAGGGAAGGTGTTGCAATGTTTTCCTCATTTCTTCCCACAAAAAGGACTTGAAACCCTGTTTTTCTCAGGAATTTTTGAGAATGGATTATAGAAAATATCATAGTCTAGAATATTTCATTATTTTCTAGAGACAAGTTGTATAACGTGTAGTATTTTCTTCCGATGTATCTGCTATTATGGTTCTTACATCTGATAGCAAAGATCTTGCCTGACGAAAAGCAGTCTTGGTAACAAGTGGTCCACTTGTCTTGCACATGCATGCTCTCCTTGCACTGTTGAACGTGCATCAATAAATCCCGCTGTTCCCTATTCCAGGAGGGCTCCAGCTCTCTCAGTCATTACTCTTAATGCAACATGAAGTCCGGGAGTGCTGCTTCTCCAGAACTGGGCAGTCACAGCTTTTTTGTAGCACAGTAACAGCAAATTACAGTGGTATTGACACGGTGCATCGAGCCAATGGCCGCTGTGGGGAGGGGGAGAGGGAGAGAAAATAGACCGGAAGCTAGGCGGGGCTAAGAGTGACTGACGGGCGCTCCAGCCAATGGACGCTGTGGGGGGGGGGGCGGTGGGAAAATAAACCAGCAGCTGGGCGGAGCTACGAGTGAGTGACGGGTGCTCCAGCCAATGGCCGCAGTGGGGAAAATAGACCGAAAGCTAGGCGGAGCTAAGCGTGATTGACGGGCACTCCAGCCAATGGCCGCAGTGGGGAAAATAGACCGAAAGCTAGGCGGAGCTAAAAGTGACTGACGGGGACTCCAGCCAATGGCCGCTGTGGGGGGGGGGGGGGGGGGGGGGGGGGGGGGGGGGCGGTGGGAAAATAGACCGACAGCTAGGTGGGGGTAAGAGTGACTGACGGGGACTCCAGCCAATGGCCGCTGTGGGGGGGGGGGGGGGGGGGGGGGGGGGGGGGGGGCGGTGGGAAAATAGACCGACAGCTAGGTGGGGGTAAGAGTGACTGACGGGGGCTCCAGGCAATGGCCGCTGTGGGGGGGCGGTGGGAAAAGAACCCGGATGCTAGGAGGGTCTAAAAGTGACTGACGGGCGCCCTAGCCAATGAGCGCTGTGGGGGGGCGGTGGAAAAATAAAGCGGAAGCTAGGCGGGTCTAAGAGTGACTGACGGGCGCTCTAGCCAATGGGCGCTGTGGGGGGGCGGTGGGAAAATAAAGCGGAAGCTAGGCGGGTCTAAGAGTGACTGACGGGCGCTCTAGCCAATGGGCGCTGTGGGGGGGCGGTGTGAAAAATACCCGAATGAAGGCGGGACTAAGAGTGACTGACGGGAGCCCTAGCCAATGAGCGCTGGGGGGGGGCGGTGGGAAAATAAAGCGGAAGCTAGGCGGGACTAAGAGTGACTGACGGGCGCTCTAGCCAATGGGCGCTGTGGGGGGGCGGCGGGAAAAATACCCGGATGAAGGCGGGACTAAGAGTGACTGACGGGCGCTCTAGCCAATGAGCGCTGTGGGGGGGTGGCGAGAAAAGAACCCGGATGAAGGCGGGACTAAGAGTGACTGACGGGTGCTATAGCCAATGAGTGCTGTGGGGGGGCGGTTTAAAAAGAACCCGGATGAAGGCGGGACTAAGAGTGACTGACGGGAACTCTAGCCAATGAGCGCTGTGGGGGGGCGGCGTGAAAAGAACCCGGATGAAGGCGGGACTAAGAGTGACTGACGGGCGCTCTAGCCAATGAGCGCTGTGGGGGGGGCTGCTTGAAAAGAACCCGGATGAAGGCGGGTCTAAGAGTGACTGACGGGTGCTCAAGCCAATGAGCGCTGTGGGGGGGGGCGGTTTAAAAAGAACCCGGATAAAGGCGGGACTAAGAGTGACTGACGTGAGCTCTAGCCAATGGGCGCTGTGGGGGGGCGGCGTGAAAAATACCCGGATGAAGGCGGGACTAAGAGTGACTGACGGGCGCTCTAGCCAATCAGCGCTGTGGGGGGCGGTTTAAAAAGAACCCGGATGAAGGCGGGACTAAGAGTGACTGACGGGCGCTCTAGCCAATGAGCGCTGTGGGGGGGCGGCGTGAAAAATACCCGGATGAAGGCGGGACTAAGAGTGACATCCGGGTTCTTTTCCCGCCGCCCCCCACTGCGCCCATTGGCTAGAGCGCCCGTCAGTCACTCTTAGACCCGCCTAGCTTCCGCTTTATTTTCCCACCGCCCCCCCGCTGCGCTCATTGGCTAGAGCGCCCGTCAGTCACTCTTAGTCCCGCCTTCATCCGGGTTCTTTTCCCGCCGCCCCCCCACAGAGCTCATTGGCTAGAGCGCCCGTCAGTCACACTTAGTCCCGCCTTCATCCGGGTATTTTTAAACCGCCCCCCCACAGCGCCCATTGGCTAGAGCGCCCGTCAGTCACTCTTAGTCCCGCCTTCATCCGGGTATTTTTCACGCCGCCCCCCCACAGCGCTCATTGGCTAGAGCGCCCGTCAGTCACTCTTAGACCCGCCTAGCTTCCGCTTTATTTTCCCACCGCCCCCCCACAGCTCTCATTGGCTAGAGCGCCCGTCAGTCACTCTTAGTCCCGCCTTCATCCGGGTATTTTTCAAGCCGCCCCCCCCACAGCGCCCATTGGCTAGAGCGCCCGTCAGTCACTCTTAGACCCGCCTTCATCCGGGTATTTTTCCCGCCGCCCCCCCACAGCGCTGATTGGCTAGAGCGCCCGTCAGTCATTCTTAGTCCCGCCTTCATCCGGGTATTTTTCAAGCCGCCCCCCCACAGCTCTCATTGGCTAGAGCGCCCGTCAGTCACTCTTAGTCCCGCCTTCATCCGGGTATTTTTCCCGCCGCCCCCCCACAGCGCTGATTGGCTAGAGCGCCCGTCAGTCACTCTTAGACCCGCCTAGCTTCCGCTTTATTTTCCCACCGCCCCCCCACAGCGCTGATTGGCTAGAGCGCCCGTCAGTCACGCTTAGTCCCGCCTTCATCCGGGTTCTTTTTAAACCGCCCCCCACAGCGCTCATTGGCTAGAGCGCCCGTCAGTCACTCTTAGTCCCGCCTTCATCCGGCTATTTTCCCGCCGCCCCCCACAGCGCTGATTGGCTAGAGCGCCCGTCAGTCACGCTTAAACCCGCCTAGCTTCCGCTTTATTTTCCCACCGCCCCCCACAGCGCTCATTGGCTAGAGCGCCCGTCAGTCACTCTTAGACCCGCCTAGCTTCCGCTTTATTTTCCCACCGCCCCCCCACAGCGCTCATTGGCTAGAGCGCCCGTCAGTCACTCTTAGACCCGCCTAGCTTCCGCTTTATTTTCCCACCGCCCCCCCACGA